TGTCTGGAATTATACTTAATTTTCTTGTAATTTTGCTTGAAATTATATTTTAATTTCACCTAATATTATCAGAACTTTAGTTATTATTTTTTTTATGAAAAAGCTTCAAACATTGAAATAATGTTAATGAACTTTAATCATACTATTGTGAAAATGCAATATTTGTAAATTGAATAAAAGTTCTTTAATATTTAATTATGAATAGGAAATTGGTATCTAATTTAATAACAAGTTTTACTTTCTTAAAAAGCCTTGTTTCTGAATTTCTATATATTCAAAAATACGATATGTATTGCATTATTAATAAAAATCTTACGTGTTTAATTTTAAAACTTTAACGAATTTAAAGATATTTTTACTTTATTCATAAAAATCATGCAATAAATAATCACATGATTTTACAGACCTATAGGTCTGTGAGATTATTAGTAGAGATGAGACAATTAAATTAGTTTCGTCTTGTTCTCTGACAGCAACTAGAGGCTGTCAGAAAAGAAAATTTACTCGTCAAGCAAGAAATATAATTCCAGTATAACTCTGGGCAAAATCAAATTATAAATTCAAGCAAAATTAAGTATATTTCTGGGCAAAATTAGGCATAACTCCAGGCAAAAAAAATATAATTCTGGTCGCATATTAGGTTGTGTTATATAGATTAAAATTATTTCTGGGAGCAAAATTAGGTATAATTTCGGTCAAAATTAGGCATAATTCTAGGCAAATTCATTATAATTTCAAGCAAATTAAGTATAATTCTGGGCAAAATTAGGTATAACTTCAGGCAAAATTAAAATATAATTTTAAGCAAATTTAGGTATAATTTCGGGAAAAATTAGGCATAATTCCAGGCAAATTCATTAGCATATCTTCAGACAAAATCAAAATATTAAAAATTTTTGCTACGCCATAAACCTGGCATACATTCAAGTAGTGCTATAGATCCAGCAAATATAAAAAAACAACTATGAAATTTTGACCCAATCATAAACTTAGTTTATTGTAAAATAGTTTTGTTACAATTTTTTAGTTATATAGTGAAATAATCTTAGAGAAGCTAATTTAAAATATATATTTATGATCACGATGCTTTTTTACTTTGAAATGTGCTTCGTATATAAGCACGCGAATCTAAAACTATTTGATTGCAAAATATCTTCGATCTCATATAAAATTTGTTTCTAAAAAAACTTCTACATTGTTTTTTTTTAATATATTTATTTGGAAAGCGTATCGGTATATAAATTAAAACAATTTTTTTCAATTGTGCTAATTATATCCAAATTCAAACTCTGGACTAGGGATGCGATCTGTTATCTGTTTTACTATTTAAATTAGCATTGGAAATAAGTTTTGGATACTATAAATCTGTACTTAATTTATAAAACAATCATTTTTTGATGTACGTATATCGATATTAACTTTTTTGTTTAAACAATAAAATTTGATCTCTGAGAATATTTCTAAATAGACCTCATTACAAGTTTTCTTGCTTAATTAAAAAATAAAAACCAAATATAATTAATATACAGTAACCAGCTAATCTAAATAAATATAATTTTCAGATAATGTAAGTTAATTATTTTTATAAAGAAAAAAGTTTAATATCAATAACGTTTCAAATTTTCAATCATATTCAACTACTTTTTGATGATGGCAATTCAATTTAAAAAAATTGAAAATATAGTTAAAAGGTTTTTTACTATAAAAAAAATTAACGAACTTGGATCCAAGACCTTTCTTCCTTTAGTAAAATTAATTGCTCCCTTTATTGGCTATAAAAAGCCCAATCCTAATAGTTTTATGATTTTTCAAAAAGATTTTACTGCATAGAATCGAAAAAACATCGATATGGCCAGTAAGCTGTTGTGGCAAGGTAATTTCATATTATAGAAAAACATTAAGGTCCATAAAATAAAACTGATATATAATAAAGTATCAGAAATTGCAAAAAAGGTTCAAAATATATTATATTGTACATCTAATTATAACAAACCTTATGTACCTAATTATTTTTATGAACCCAATTATTTTTATTATTCATATGAATCTAATTTTTCTGTATATGTACCTAATAATTATTCTAATTTTTATGTGCCTAATTATTCTTAAGCTAATGATGTACTTTACAATTATTTTACACCTTTCATTTATACAACTTACACACCTTATAATCGGTAATTATTTTAATAAATTTGGGTATTAAAGTGTGTAGTAGTTAAAACTACCTCTCGACATTTTTCGGCTTTGTTAATTTTTTTTTTTGTTTTCGTAAAAATTTCACGATTTGATTAAAAATTTATCTAGAAGCAGGAATTCTTGCTCTAACTACTTTAATCTTTACTATACTTAAATCAAATTTTTAATAAAGCTTTTCAAAATTTTATATCAGTACTTTCTAAAGATTAAATAATTTAAATTTACTATGGTTGGAAAATAGAAATGTGTACGATGTTCTCTTACATTGATCAAGAAAATTAATAGGTATAATTGTGCTAACTACAACTAAGTAGTTCATTTTTTGAGTGAATTTTCTGATAATGATGAAGATTACTGATACTGAAAAGTGTTGACCACAACCTTCAACTGGACATTTGAATGCTGTTTAAGAAATTTCAAAAGGGATTAGAATGTACTATACAATATCGTATTTTATGAAAATCAATTTATTTTTTATATAAGTTTGCAAAGAACTTGAGCGTGTGAATCTTTTTTGGCAAACATATATTTCTTTGAAGTTGATATTCTTTGCGGGCTAGAACTGGATGAACTCTTGAATTGGTTTTGAAAATATTTTTTCAACTTAATGAACTTTCAAGTCACGTGATCAAAAACAATATAATTTTCGCATTTTCAAATTATAAATCAATTAAGAATCACCTATTTTGTATTGTATATGAGTCTCATCACTAACTTATAGAGTGTGTCCAGAATTCTGCAGTGCATAATTTTGCTCACTCTAAAAATATTTTTTTGTATTGTCTTCATAAGAAAAGGGTGACTTTAATCATTTTTTAATATTTTTAGAATTATGCGCCGCAGAATTCTAGACACTCTAATCTGATAGATGAATTTCAAGATTTCTATGGTTTTTTAGATAATAGATTCTCAAAAAAATCTGTAAAACTGGTCTTACATATGTACAAAATTAAAACTTGCATTCATTGAAATATATAGGGTTATTATTTAGCCAAAATTATATAACAATACACTTTGTTGGTTTATGTAAATTATGATACCATATTGATATCAATATGGTATTTTCTAATTTATTTAAAGTTACAGTACTGCCAATAAAATTGAGCATAAATGCGATTCTAATTTATTGTTGTTCAAATAACGTAATTTAAATTTTGATTACTAAGATTTTCCATAAAATTATTCGTCCTACATACAAAATTAAAATGAAATTTAAAATAAATATGTTTCCATTGATGCGATCTGTTATCCGTTTTCAACCAAATTTAACGTATTCTACAGATCGTATCTCTTCTCTAGGGTGTCAAAAATTATGCAGCAGTAAAATAAGCATGTTTAAAATGAGTATTATTTCTGTAAGAAAAAGGTAATATGAGCATTTTTAAAAATAAATATTTTTAGTGAAAACTAGTGGTTTCAATAGTCTTATCCTACTAATAAATTCTATATACAGTATAAATGAGATTCAACTACTGAATTTTTTTCTATCACTATTCTACTTTAATTGCATAAATATTAAATTTTTTCTAACCTCTTTTTTAAATAAATGATGAAAAATTCATTTATTTGCAAACTAGAAAAGGCTATTTCATACCAAACTATTTATTCACTTGATTACAGCGAATTTACAGATTTTGATGATATAAGCCAAAACAAATTTAAAAAAATGTATAAGTGCAAATGGAAGAAATGTGATATTACGGTCGTTCATAAGTATTTATTCATTAACAACAATCCTCAAATTGTTCAAGAGGTATTAATATTCCAAAAAACAGATTCCTGAAAAATATAACACACAAAGTTAGCCGGCATTAGCTATAATGCTGGTCATGATTTTGACCCAAATTCGCGAAAACTTTGTTCTTAAGCATAAAAAAATTATTTTTTTTTATAATTATATTTTTTTTCTTTAATATTTAGCTTGAAAACTTGCAAAAAGTTAGCTTTCATCAAAATATTATTCGATTTTATGGTGTAACTAAATGTAAGAGAAAATGTTTTTCTTAATACCAATTGATAATAATTAACCTGAATTTTTAATATAAATCAGTGTTCAATGATTATTATGTGATTTTACAATATGCAAAAGATAGAAATTTACATCAATTTTTAAAGAATAACTTTTTAAACTCTAGCAGGCTAATAGGTTACGAATTGCTGAAGATATAATATTTGGAATAAAAGTCTTGCATAATTATAATATTATTCATCGAAATTTAGTAAGTAACCTAAAATTAAAAGGTTTCAGTTTGGAGAAAACTAATTTTTAACTTACTGGGTTTCAAATTAAAATCAGATAATTTTATTTTTCTGATTTATAATTCAACGCAGTAAAAATACTAAGTTCCTATTAGAAATGTAAATAATTCTGCCTTAATTATATCAATATGCTTAAAAAAAAAATTATCACACCTTTGTGTTATTTTTGAGGATATAAGAAAGTTATAACTTATAAAATCTGATTATTAACAACAACTTGCAAATATTCATTTATAATTTTTTCATAGAATTCAAAAAATATTTTGGTTCATAAAGAGAAGATGATGAATATGTACATTTATTTCTTTTACTAATTATAAAAATGCATTTATATACTTTTTTTATTTTACAATTTATTAATTGAAACAGAATTTTATACAATTTTTACAATAATTAAAATAATACGCTTATTCATTAATTGAAAATATTTATATTTTATGTATTCTTGTATGTTTAAATTAAGTATTGCAATTTTTTTTTTTTTTTTTTAGGATTTTTTAAATATAAACTTAAAATATGAATTTTAGACATTAAGTTACTTTAAAATGTCTTGTTTACAATTTTTACAATTACAACAGACAAATATAGAAAAGCTTTTGAATGATTTGATTTCATCATATAATAATAAAAAATTCCCTGATACAAAGATAATCGTTGGTGAAAAGGGAAAAATTGAAACAATTTATGCTAATTCTTTTATACTTAAGATACGTTCTGAATATTTTCTAAGTGCTTTTTCAGAAGGCTGGAGTCGAAAGGTAGATAAATATTTTGTTATAAAAAAGCCAAATGCCACACTCGATTCTATGAATATTATTATTAGATTTCTTTATAACGTAGACTTCAATGCATCACATGATATGAGAACACTTTTGAATATATTTTTGCTCGCGGATAAAATGGGCATCATGGTATTACATGATGAATTGAAGTCATATTTCATCGAAAATATCATAACTATTATGAAAAACAACCCATTATTGATTTTAGAATTTGTTAAGATATTTATTTTGTATGATGATTTGAATGAATTATTGTTAAAAGCTTTGTGTTTGAATCCGGCATTATTATTCAATTTCGATAACAAAGAAATTTCTGAAAGTATTCTCTATGAATTAATATCGAGGTCAGAATTATGTCTGGAAGAAAACTTGTTATTAAGCAGAATTATTCAATGCTGTTGGATACAAATAGGTTTTCAGATAAGGTATATTTAATAGAATATATAAGGTTCAACCAGATCACTTCTGACGAAATTAATAATATATTTTGTAAATATAAAAGGAAAAATATAAATAATGATATACTTTCTGAAGTGCAAAAATATTACGAAAAATTCAAAGACAATAACTATGATATTTGTGATGGTAATTTTTGCCTCAGATCTGAAATTATAGATTTAGACATAGCCAAAAAATTAATCACATAGATAAGCAGAAAAGAATATTATAATTGTTGATACAAGTTTGAACCTTTATTTAATATGAAGCGTGATAGTTTAAAGTCAGAAACCTTTCATAAAAACTGTGATGGAAAAGGGCCTACAATAGTAATTATTAAATTACTTGATGGTGATTTAATAGGTGGTTATAATCTATTAGACTGGGAAGGTGAAAATGTTTGGAAAAAAACAAGTGATAGTTTTCTATTTCAAAAAAGTCGTCATAACTATAAAAAGTAAATATTAAACCAAGATCTGAAGAAATGGCTATTAGTTGTAGAAGTGAATACGGTCCAACATTTGGAAGTACCGATTTGTATATTCAGAATGGTTTGGATTTTTGTATGGTTATAAATTCACATTATGAAAGTTTAAATGTATCAGGAAGATTTCAGATAGTATCTTACGAGATTTTAAGGGTTATCAAACAAAGATAATATATATTCTTCAGGCAGATGAATTCCAATGTATTTAGTAGAATCAACTAAAGAAAAGTTCAAAGAAAACTTTAGACAAAAAATTGGAAATGACTTGACAAAAATCCAAAGCATCTGATTTTTTTATATCGACATAAGACTTGATAGATTTTTTTATAAAATGAAAAAATTATCCATAAATTTTAAACTGATAAATTTAAATTCAGGCAAAATATAATGTTAAAATTTAATTTCAAGCATAGTTCTTCCAAAAATAAGCAAAGATAAATATCACAATTAGAATTATATCTGTAATAATTTAAAAGTGAATTAGTTTTAGTTGCTCCAATTTCTTTGCCGTAATTATCGTAATACATTAATTCTACCTGTTCCTGGTTTTGGCACGACTCAGAATTATTATATATAAAAGTCAAAATTCTACTAAGTTAATCAATATTTATATCTTAAATAAAGTTGTTTAGAAGAACAAATTATATATATTTTGAAATTTTTATATAATTCCAATAACTTTTTATTAAGATATTTTGGTGTTTTACCTTTATATGAAAATTTTAAAATTTTTTTATTTAAACATAAAATACAAAATAAAAAATTATTGGAATTAGATAAAATTTTCAGAATATAATATCAAACAAAACAATTTTCAACAAAAAAATTACATACTGGTATAATATTAAATTAAAAAATGTTAATCTAAAAAACCTATATATATCTAATTCAAAATTGGATTACAAAATACTGTATATATTTTTAAATTAAAAGCTAGTTAATTGAAAGTTAATTGTATAACAATGCTTTTAAGATTAATTTTTTTTTAATATTGGTATTAAATTTTTTTTTTAGTAGTATATAAAGATAAAGGATTTCTTCTAACTTTAAACTTTCTTATATACTTAAATTAAAATAATTTACAATGTCCAATAAAAATGCTGATGATTACAGGCTCCTTAAACTTGGAAGAGAAAAGTACACAGCTAAAGATTACAAAGGCACAGTTTGTTGTTTAACTAGTTGTACTATTAGTAAAAATAATCAAATAAAAAATGAAGCTAAATTATTATTAGCAATGATATATATAAAAGATAATTTATTTTTTGGAAAGGATATAAAAGATAAAGCTATTCAAGCTTTTCAATACTTTAATGAAGTTTTTAAAGCAATTCAAAATTCAGTGAAAAAGTCAGAGAAATGCTAATAATATGCTACCATAATGGAATCGGTGTTGAAAGAGACGATTCAAAAGCTGATGAGCTTTATCAAGAGAAATATAAAAAAATAAAAAAAATTTAAACAAAACTCTCGAAGCATGCTATCTCAAAAATTTTTTATGACATTTTTACAATGTTAAAGTCATAACGTAGCTGAAATTTTCTTTATCATAAAAAATATAACTTATATATTAATTAAATTTAAATACTAAAATAATTTCCTTTCATTTTTTGATTTGTTGTATATTACTTGATTGAGTTCAAACTTAATTTTTTTTTTATTTGAATGTAATTGCGCTTTATTGGCAACTTATTTCGAAAGTATCATATTTATTTTCAAATGATAAATAAATTATTAAAATTATTTACTTATAAAGTCTCACGGCGAATTTAATAAATTTGTAATGCTGGAGTGATGAGAGCAGACTTTTTTTTTACTCTACTAATATATTCACAGTTAAGACTATTCTTCTTGCATCTCGCATATACAATTTCAGCTGAACACTTTTTCTTCTGTGTCAACAATTTATAACACAACGATCGCGTTTGGGTAGCTTTAATTATGTAGGATTACTTTTTTTATAACATTATGTTGCATTATATTTAGTGTATTAGAGAGATCATAGGATTTGTTATTATTTTTAACAAGATTCCTATCTTTATAATATAATGTCAAATAATATTTTGCATAATCTTAATATATTGAATTAAATCTTTTTAAAAAACAATGAACAAAGATAGAAAGAAACAGAATTTTTTCACGAGATTTTATCAATTCTAAAGAATTAATTAATCAGCTTTTGTGAATTAGAGGAGTCTTGTTTTGCTCTCGTTTATAATTTAAAAAAAGAAAAAAATCTTTATAATGTTATATCTCAATTTATAATTGCGAAAACTACACATCACTCTGGTTATAGTGAATATCGACATTTTATATTAAAATTTTTGAAAAAAATGTCAGTACAGAAAGATTTTACTATGTATTATATCCAAATGTAAAGTGACGTGTATTTATTCAATTATTTAATGTAATTTTCCTTTTAAAGTTTTGAATAGCTAAATTTATACAAAATGCATTAAGAAGATAGCTTATCGATATGACGTTATCCTATACGATTAGCGGATATGTTCCAAAATTTCATGACCTGATGCATAAATAAATATATGTCAGAATAACAGGTGAGAACGTCCCAAATTTGGGGTACGTCTAAGGCCTTGTGCAGTTATATGTTTTTAATTTTTTAATTAAAGTTAGGTAAGGGTTAGTGTAGAATTAGGATAAGAACAAGTTTTATAGTAAAATTGCCTCCCCGATATTTTTTATTAATGCTCCAAGGTAGGATTAGGCACCCATTTCTTGTATTTTTAACTTTTTTTACTTTTTTTCCTTTGTCAGACTGATCCGTGTCGATCAAAACAACCAATTTTATTGGCTGTATATCACGTGACTGCACACAGCTTTAGATGACCCCAAATTTGGAAAAAATTACCTGAGTCACCCGGTCATTACACAATTGATAAAAATTTTTTTTTATACGTTTTATAATATGATTTTAAAATTAATTGGGTAGCTTAACTTTCTAAAAATCTTACAAAATATTATGAATGAATTAATGCTTTCACTTCGATTTATAATATGTTTGTTTAATCTATTTTAATCTACCAATTTTATTCTTGCAATCTGATTGGCCGGTTGACTAAAATTCATCATATGATTGGTTGACAACTGTGTGTAATGATCCGCAAACTCAGGGCATACTCGGGACGTTCTTACCTGTTCGTCAACAGGTGAGAACATCCCAAATTTGGAAAAGATTACCTAAGTCACCCGGTCATTATACAATTGATAAAAAATTTTTTTTATACGTTTTATAATATGATTTTAAAATTGATTGGGTAGCTTAACTTTCTAAAAATCTTACAAAATATTACGGATGAATTAATGCTTTTACTTCGACTTATAATATGTTTGTTTAATCCATTTTAATCTACCAATTTTTTTCTTGCAATCTGATTGGCTGGTTGACTAAAATTCATCACATGATTGGTTGACAACCGTGTGTAATAATCTGCAAACTCGGGGCATACTCAGGACGTTCTCACCTGTTCTGTTCGTCAGAATAGAACTTTGTTTATTGTATCACATTAGATCACGTAAATTTCTGCAATTGTCAATCCAAAAATTTTTCAACATCAAGATAGATAATGTATTCAAATTGAATAAAAAATAAAGTGTATAATTCGTTTACATTGTTTTATTGAACAATTTTATTTAGTAATATTTAAAAGCAAATTGAATCACTACTGAATTCATAACAAATATAAACCAAAAAATAAAATATTTTATTTAACATTATCTTTTAGAACTTTCAGACCTTGATCAATAAGGGTCTACATATTAAATATATAAAATGATAGAAGTAAATTTGCATAAAAAGTAACAAATTAACTAAAGACTTACTGATAAAGCAATTACTTCTCTAATCAAATTTTTAAGCTTATAGTAATCAGTAATACTAGATGGAACTTCAATTATGAAGAATTCTTGTAAAATAATATATCGATCAACAGATATTATCCTTTTAATCACAATATCAAATCCTTCTGTTGATGCTCCAAAGATTTGAAAATTTTTAGGTATTGAATGCCCTTTTCTTTTCTTTTGACTAACAATATAGTTTATATTATTTTGTATTTGTTTACTTAATTTGGCAAAATCATTCTTGATCTTTTTCTGAATCTTGTTTGTTAGGCTTCCGGCAATCTCTAAAGTAAAAATCTCATAATCTGAATAATTTTGCATGGTAAAGTCTAGTCTGGTTCTATTTGCAAATACTTGAGAATTTTGGAGTTTATTATGTTTTGATGATATTGATGCTGAATCTCTATAGAGAAAATTTGAAAAAATTCTAAAATAATTGCGGAGTAATAGAATTTACATTTTACTTACCAACTAGTATAAGAGCCATCAATATCTGCCAATATATTGAGACATGATTCTAAAACTTCTGTACAAAATTTTAATTCAGACATTCTTAATGAAAAAAAATCCTCCTTTCAGAATTTTTTAAAACTAATTCAATTTATTATTTCAATAAATTAGAGAATTTGAAAATCAACTTTCCCAATTATTAGAATAATTCTACAAGTTTTTTAATGATAAGATCTGAAATATATATTACAATTTTTGTACAGTATCAAAAATAAATGTAATTTGGCACTCTTTTAAAGTTTCAATTCTCAAATTTACTAATTTTCGTTTTTGTTTCACTTCTTTGAATATATTTTCAGCATTAAGGATCTAAATATTATTATTAATAAATTAAATTATCAAAACAAAATAAAAAAAAGGAGCGCATTTCATGTTATCTCTTTATCCTTAAAAATAGAAAATATATTATCTAAATATCCATTTTGCAAATTTATTAGTCAAGAATGCGATTTCTGCTATCTTGCGACGATTATTAATCAAGAGATAAAAATGTTTTATTGATTCTGAAAGAGAAATTACTGTTGCACATCATGGAATTATCATATCGATGGCCTAAAATTTATACTATACTAAACTCTATTTCTTTTTTTTTATTTTAAATGTGAATATAAAAAAATTTTTAAGTTTTTATTAATCTATTTAATCCTTCGTGATTGCTTACAATTACAAAAGTGGTTTTATTATTTGATAAATCACAAATATCTGTTTCTAAGACATAACGATTATACAACTTTGAACATAATATATTTGAAAGCGACACAGAATAAGAAAACGAAGCTATCTTTGCCACTTCGCTGGTTGATCCAATGATTATTTTCGTAATGTTTGGTAACTTCATACAAATCCAATTCTTGCACTCTTCAAAAGCCTAAAAAACAAATTTTAGTTAAAATTTTATACTGCTTAAATTAAAACAATTATCTACTGATTCGTAACTATACAATTTTTCTATTCCTGAAATATCAGTTTGCACTGAGAGTAATGCATACCTCACAGGCTTCTCAATTTCTAATTTAACTTTAAACCTTTCAAATAAATGATTGTGTTCAAACATATTAACTCTGTTCACTTTAGTAGAAATTAACAGACACTCGTCAGATCTTATTATTGGTAGAATTTTAATTAATTCGCTCTTTTCCTTTAAAAGGACCATTTTAACATTGGAACATTTCTCACGCATTTTTTGAAAAATTTCCTGTGCAGTAAAATACAAAAAAGAACCTTCCAGACCGAGAGTATAAAACTTTCTGATTGAATCATAAACCAGAAATCCATTATTTTGAAGAATTTCATCATAAATATTATTCAAAAACTTTTTGCAAACCATTTTTACTTGGTGATCTGCTCCTAATAAATTACTTTTCCTCACTCCAGAGATATTTAATGAATATATATTATTATTAACAATCTATTTCACAACCTCGTCTAAATTACTTGCGAACATATTCACAATTTTCAATTTCTTTTTCAACTCTTCAGCTCTATCAGTTGTATATTTAGTACCAGAATCATTTGTCATATCTCCCTGAATAATCAACACACCATCTGAAAATTCAACATTTTTATCGGTTCTATAATAATAGTTGTCGTTATCTAACTCTACCATTGGATACTTTTTATCAATAGTTCCATCTTCACATTTTCTACCTTTTAGACAGAAACTGGTAATAACAAAATGAATCGTATTGGTTATATGCACAATGAATTCTTAATTATTAATTAATCGCTCTTTTTTATCTTTTGAAAACTCAAAGAATTCATCTTGAAAGATTCTGTTGATGCCAGTCTGGTCACCAACACGAAATATAAGATTAAAAAACATTTTTAAATTGTTAAAGTTTTAAAATTAAATACGAACAGATAAGATTTTTATTAATGCGATACATATCGCATTTTTGAATACATTGAAATTCAGAAACAATTACATAATAAATATTTGCATTTTCACAATTGTTATCTTTTAATTGTTATAAAAAAATAACTAGCAAGAATTTATAACAAAAATGTTTAGTCAATAAACTAAATTAAAATTAAATTTAATAAATTCTATAAAAATTTAATCAATCAAATAGTAACTTTTGGCAATGATATTGTTAATAAAATTAAATTTACCAACCTTCTAGTTATTCGATTTGAATGAGTTTTTTTATTTTGTAGATTCTATTGAGATTTACAAAATTGGATAACTAGATGGCTGGCAATTTTAATTTTTATTTACAAAATCAACATAGCAGAGGGTCATTTTCATAGGCAATAACATTAAGTATAATTCTGGGCAAAAGTAAATATAATTTTAGGCAAAATTTCAAGCAAAACTAATTCTGCAATTAGGCATAACTCTAGGCAAAATTAAATATAATTTCAAGCAAAATTCCGGCAAAATTAGACATAACTCTAGGCAAAATCAAATATAATTTCAAGCAAAATCAAGTTAATTCCAGGCAAAACTCCAGCAAAATAAATTATAAAGTTGAGCAAAATTAATAATTTAAATTAATAATTTTAAAAAATATTACATTTGGATTTAATATTTATGGTATTATCACATTTTCATCAGAACTATCTGTAGGCAATGTAGATTATTTTCAGTGAGGCTTTATCTTTTTCAATAGTAGCTGTATAACAAAAAAATTAATTATGCAAAATATTTTGTTTTATAAATGCAAAAAAAATTTAATTTACTAAATTGCAGTTCCTGAAACTGTTCTATTAATTCGTCATCTAAATATTCAATTAAATAAATTTCAACTAAGTGAATTAATAAAATTCTTCATTAAATTGAATTTTCTGTTTAAAGTTATAAAAAACTTTTTATTAAATTTAAATGGCATGACTGCTGACTTGTATCTGGGTATATGGGATTGAAATGTTTGATTAACTAATTAAATTAAAACTATATGTAGTCCTTTATTAAGTTAATATAATAAAGTTTTAAGCAAATTGTTCGAATAATCTAGTTCCATTAATCTGCACTATATTCTATTGTTTTTGCATCTCCTTGGTGAATATTTAGAATTTTGAAAAGGTAAATGCTCGTTCAAATTTTTAATATTTAAGATCATTTTATATTTTACAATATATCACAACAAATTAAAAAGTATATTTTTTTAACTTAGTCTATATTATTTTTTCAAATAATTAATACTGAAAGAGGAGTTGGATTTTAAAAAAATTGCTAACAATTAGTTATTATCGTTATTTTATACTGTATATAGATTATTCTCCATAAATGAACATTCTTATTGGATTTTCTCTTATTTTGAAAATAGCGCAAACAAAAACTAGCCAGAATTTATAACAAAACTATTTGGTTTTACAATAAAACAATTAACTTATATTGATAATAAAATGTACACTGTGTTTATCAACTTAATATTACAAAAAAGTATTTAAAAGAATTGGATACGTTTAAAAAAATAACCGCAAACAAAATGAGTTTAATTCAAGATAAACCATCTTTAAATCAATCTATTAAAATAATTTTTTATTCTTTTAAATTTAATATATTATTGTTGTTTGTTCTCGTAGGTTTTATTGTACACTTTCTTAATTTGAATAAAGTCATAATCTTTGTAATAAACTTTCTTGCAATTATTCCATTGGCCAAATTGCTTGAGTTTGCAACTGAAGAACTTTCATGTAGAGTCGGACAAGTATTTAAAATTTGAATTAATTCTTTCACTTACTCGGACAATCTAATAATTAATTTAAAATTTTTATTGTTTCAATATTCAATTTAATAAAAGATCTGGGCAGCTTTATTGAATGTGACTTTTGGTAATGCAGTAAAATTAATAATATCGATAATAGCTTTGACGAAGGGACAGATTTGTATTGTTCAGACATCAGTTCTCGGATCAATATTTTCAAATATCTTGTTAGTATTAGGATTATGTTTTTTGCTAGCAGGATCACTATTCTTAAAAAAGATCATTTGGAACAAGAATTTAGTTCAACTGCAGCACAAGCAAGTTCTAGTATTATGACTTTAGCATGTATTGCTTTAGTTGTACCTGCCACTTTTATTCTTGCTATCGATGGAAATTCTAATACTATGATTGATTCTAGAGTCTTACATTTAAGTTATAGAACCTCTATAGTGTTGTTCATAATATATATGCTTTATATATTTTTTCAGATATTATAAAATATTTTATCATCATTTAATTATTATCTACATTGCATCTTTATAGTTTATTTCCTTTTAATAAAATAGTTAAAAACTCATAAGGATCTATTTATTAATGAAGAAAATGAAGAACCACAAATAAGCAAGATAATAGCATTATTTTTGCTAATTATAGTAACAGTGATAATTGGATTTTCTGCTGAATTTCTTGTTAGTTCAATTGAAGGAGTTGATTTAAGTAAAACTTTTATTGGGTTGATTTTGTTACCTATTATCGGAAATGCTGCTGAGGTATTTAACTTTAATTCTAACCATCATGATAATGATTTTTCAAACATTTTAAGATTCTAATATTGTTAATAGCACACTACTTCTGTTAGTGTTGCAATAAAAGATAAAATAGAATTTGCTATTTGCATTATAGTTGGCAGCTCAATAGTAAGTTAATTACTGTTATTATAATGCTAGACAGAATTAATCTTAAAAAAATCTTTTACTCTTTCTGATAAAATTATAGCAAATCGTGTTATTTGTTATCTCTCTATTAGTAATATTGGGATGGATTATTGGTCAACCAATGTCATTAAACTTTGAGATATTTGAAACTGTATATTTATTAATTTCAGTTTTACTCTCAAATTACTTGATACAGATATGTTTTATTTTTAATGTTTGATATGGTAAATTTTTATAATAAAAAATCTATCTTAACCATTATTGCATCTTTCATTTGCCTCTCAATTATAGAGTAAGTATTGTTAAAACTTATTTTTTAATTCTTTAAATATATATTATATAATCCCGAACTTACTTTTTTAGATGGAAAATCAAATTGGTTGCAGGGTGCATTGCTTATAGCAACCTTTGCAATAATAGCATTTGTATTTTTTTTTTATCCTGATTAAGCATTAGCAGATGCTTTTTGCAAAAATACCACTTTGACTTCTTTAAATCTTTGAAATAATCGACTTGGACCTGAAGGTGGAAAAGCGTTAGCGGATTCTCTTAAACAAGATAACACTTTAACTTCTTTAAACAATTTTGCATAAATAGTATTTTAGCTTTTTTAAATTTTCATTGTAATCAAGTAATCATTTTAATATCAAAGACAAAATTTTAATATAGTTTTATTAAATAATAGAATTAAAAATAAAAAAAATTTAGTCTAGTATTTAAAAAAAAATATGATTTCGTCCTTGTTTTTCTATCAATTGTTTTAAATGAATAATTCAAGCAAAATTCTGGATAATTTTAGCACCCAAAGAAATTAAATTATTAATTCCAGGTAAAATTATTGCTAATTAAAAATAATTATTTTTTAGTACAAATGGACCACATGATTTGTACTTTCTGTTACAAATTAAAAAAAAAAACAAATGATAAATAATGCTAGCTGAACTTTTGTAAAGCTGGTACAATATGAAAGTTACATGAAATTTGATTAACTGAAAATTACGTAAAATTACATGTATTGTAAGATTGTAAAATATAATTTTCAACAAAATCTGAAAGAATATAATACCAACTAAATTGGCCAGAATTATAACTATGTCAGCAGAAAGACCTAACGTGTAGGAGAATTGTCTGCACATGTGATAATCAGTGTATTTCTTATTGTTTATTAAATTTACACCAAGCTTTAAGATTATTAAAATTTCACAAAGAAAATTTTTTGTTAGAGCGTAAAAGTCGGGTTGTTATGTAAAATTTTGAGTTATAAACAATTTTAAAAACAGACAAATTTTTTTTATGTTAATTCCACATTAATGTTGGCAAGCTTTGTGATCTTTTCAGGAATAGTATTAAATGAATTATTACTTTTATTACTATTATTTGACTTACGTTTTGAATACTTTCTGATAATTTCACAATCCAACATGATTAAACAGGTGAGTATACAACATATAATTAGGTTTAGTGTATGTGATACTACCTCATTTGGATTCAAGACAACGAGGGTATCTATGGTCCCCATTATATCAAATACCATAGCCAATAAAATTCTTAATATAAATCAGAATAGCACCCCTTTTAGTCCGTTGGTTGATTTTTCAGGAAGAGATACTCCGCTATCGACTTTTTTGCCTTTATGCAATATATGAAATACTACTATAAAGGTTATATATAGTTCGATTGCGAAATCCATGTTTATAAACCCTAGTACCAACGTTTTGTTATAATAATACCCAGAATCACACATACTCTGAAGATTGGTATTGGAGTGCTGTGGTTCCAAAAAAATAATATATAAGAATTGGAATCCAATTCTTATAGTTAGTAATATGACATAAACGAATTTATCAAACATGGTATTCTTCAATAGATACAGTCTCTATGGTAAGAAAGCTGAAAGTGACGTGTGATAAATAAAATTAGTAATTGCATTCGCATATCCTAGGACATTGCAATTCAGATTGGTTAAGATTATGTATAGAAAGTTTATTATAAATTTCAACATGCTGCTAAGGTTAAAGCTAAATTTTAAATAATAAATTTTTGGATTGACTTCTTTTGGTTCAAGGCTCTGTAATAGGGTTATTGCGGTATTATGACAGAAGAGTGAAACTCTGAATCCAGTAATAAATGATAAATAGAGTAGCTTATCCTCCATATTTATTCTCAATAGAAGCAAATCAAAACAATTGAGAGAGCTATTTAAGTTAATTTTTTATAGGATTTTGATTTTGCTTTCCATGCATTTTATTATGCTGCATACATGCCCTGAATTTAATTAAATTGTTAGTTTTTTAATATCTTTTTACAATTAAAAAAATATATATATATTTTATTCATCTTTCAGTTTCAATATATTAGCGAAATAATTTATGAATTAAAATTTCATCAAGATAAAATATAAAATAGTATAATAGACAAATAGATCCATTAAATCATATGATCATAATTTTAATACAATGCTTATTTGGGCTAAAAAATTAGAAAATTTATTCTTATGCTAATTTTATTCTAATCAATCTAATTCTTCAAGAAATTGAATTTTTTTAAAAAAATTTTTTAGCCCATCCTCTCTTGCTGTTGGGGCCCCATTTATTGAATTAAATTTGATCATTTTAAAAATTAAAAAATTTTCAAAATTATAACGCAAAGTTAAAAAAATTTTATTAAATTTGGTTAGAAAAAAAACTAAAAATAAGGTAAAATAATTAATTTATTAAAAACTAGGAAAATTTGATAATCTTTTATATTTTTTTGTATTACATTATCACTTCTTTGGGATACATTAATATTTCAATCATAATGGTTAGGTGTAATGTCAGAAAATTTTCAGGGTAATGATTTAATTAAGAGATCTGCAAGTTGCAGCACATATAAAATTATATAGCGATCTATATAGATCGATATTTTTGTTTTTGTAAAAAAAAAATGTACAATAATCAAATCATGCATTAAATTATGTGATGATTTGCTTGTTGCATATATATTAATTCCAATTTGTAAATCAAGTAAAATAGCGGTTAAATAATTGACAATATATTCTATGTCCAAGCATTTTTCAGGTATAAGATCCCAACAATTTTGATATAGTTTTGTGTAATGAGGTGGAGTTCCTTCAACCGGTGTTTCTCTCGTTCCTTTAGAAACTTCGAGAAAAAGGTGTACTTGGTCTTGGATTGATTGTAATAGTGGTTTACCACTTGATATTTCCCAGAAAATCATTTCAATACTATAGATATCTGATTTTTTAGTAAATTTATATGTAGAATCGGTATATGCCAGAATTCTATAAGGTTTGTCAGCATTTGGAGGTTCTTGGTTCAAAAATTTTGCTTGTCCAAAATCTGAAATTAACATTTTTCTTTCATATATTCCTTCGTAAACCAGAATATTTTTGGTGTGCTAAAAAAAAATATAAATTTTATTAATAATTTTTGTACCATTTTTAAATAAATTAACAAATTAATACTTACAAGATCTCAATGAATAATATTATTTTTATATAAAAATTCAACACCTTTTGATATTTCATATACCATTTGTAATTTTTAGATCTATGTAAGTTTTTCAAATGATTTTTCTAAATAAGTTCGTAAGTCACCCTTATTCGCAAATTGGAAAACCATATTAAAGGAATTATTATGAATAGTTGTAGTTTTGTGAAATTTAATAATGTTTCGGCATTTAGAATTTTTGCAAACTTTTTTTATGATCTTGAGCTAAAATAAATATTCTGTTATTAATATAATATACTAAAAACTTCTTGTATCAAATATCATGAGTTCTTACTTCTTGTTTAAATTTATCAATATCATTTTCATTTTTTAATTATTTTATAGCGATAGTAATCTCTAACAAATGACTTTGTCTTTTCTATATTGCTTTAGATATGATTCCAAATCCTTCTTCACCAATTTTTTTTAAGTTAGAAAATTCAATATTATTTATTTCTTTTGAAATCATGTTTTTGATAATTTTATTAAAAAAGATCAAAAAGAGCAAAATAAGTGTAAAGTTCAAATTATACGGTAATTGTTTTTTGGCATAATTTTTTACCAATATTATTGGGTAAGTATAGAAAATGTATAATAATCAATTTTTCGAAGCTACATTTTTTCTAAATAGAAATTGATTTGCATAAACTAATTAGATTCAAACAAATAAAATTTCAGATCAAGCATTTTGCTCATCCAGTCAAATTTTGAGTACAGGGAGTTTAAATTTAATAATAAAATCATGTGACCACATAAACTCGAGTTTAATTGTATTATAAGTAATTTCAAAAACATATTTAAATTATTCATTATAACAATATAAAAAAACTTTTAGAATACTTATAGCTGCCATCAGGATAGAAGATATAATAATAGGTTAATCAAGAGGATTTAATAAATTAGATAATGTTGGAGTTATGCGTGATTTTATAGTGGACTTTGGTTTAGGTCCTCTTTTTTTAATCGGCTTAGATGCAAGGTTGAATTCAATGTTAAATACTAGGTTAAATGCTGGTTGAATATAAGATTAAATTTAAGGTTGGATATAAGGTTGAAAAACACTTATAAATCAAAAGTTTCTCTAGAAAAATATTAGTTATAGACTGCATTATATCGAAATTTATACGAACAATTTATGTCTCTTTATTATTACCTGTTAACAAATAACTACATTTTATAAAAGGTAGAGGTAATGGTCGGGTAATTTATTTGAACGTGTAAAATATTTGTAATAACATTGGCAAATATAAGATATAAATATAATCATAGAATATTTCCACTATACGATTATGATATAATTATTATTTATTAATAAAAATAAGCACATTTACACCTCTTTTTTTTTGAATATTTCTCATCATTTTTATTGTTATTATTTTTATTATTTTTGAATAAAAAGTAATTTTCAAAAGAGTTGGTTTTTAATTTTGATATATTAACGAAACAAGGTAATTTGTTATTGAGAATTATCACACCAATATAAATAAAGACAAAAAAATCTAAATAGTAAAAGAACATGTGCTCAAATACTCGTTTATTTAGTTAATTATAACTTGTTTAACCAGATTAGAACTGCCGGTTAATTTTAAAATGAATAGAGTCTATATTAAGTCTCATGACTATAGATGCTGGTGAAATTAATTTCACCAATTTCACCATAATGGTGAAATTATTTCACCATATTTCACCAGCATCTATGATGTTGAATATAAAAATTATAAATGGTGCAAATTGTGCCGAAATTACCTGAAATCATGAGTCATAAGCCAAAATTGTCTGAAATCATGAGTCAAGAATAGAAAAAAAAATTTAAATGTTCAAATTGTTCGATAGGATGTAAAGCTGTTTATCACAATGAGGAAAAACAATGTTCCCAAAGTGATCCCAGATGTTGGAATATGATTGGGCAAAAAATACTGAGGGAATTGATTTTTAATTTGTAATTATTTGTAAAAATTTTTAACAATTTCGGTATATAATTAAAATACTTCTTTTATTGTAATATTATTTATACGCGTATTTTTTAATTAAAACTTTTAGCATAAAAATATGTGAAACTATAAATACTACGCAATAAGATTTCAAGAAAGTTGGTGTGTAAATAGAAATTTATCTACAACTATGAATAAACTTAGTTAATATTCAATTATGGGTTAGTGCTAATTTAAAATTATTAAAAACAATTGAAATTTAAAAGTTATTCGTTTTTGTAATTTAAAGTAAAGGTAAGTTCAAAGATTTAAAAGATCTATTTATTTCATTTTGATTTATTTGACTATACGAGATTTTAGCTTATAATTTTTAACATCACGTGATAAAATGTCTTTGTAATTAGGTCTTGCAAGATTAGATGTAGAGTTGACTTACTTCCATATATTTATTTCTAATGTCACAATAAGTGAAACGTAAAATAAAAATATCAAAATATTTAAAAAATAAAATTTGCTTCTTAATAAACATTCCTTTTATTTTCTTTGTACTGTAATTGGAAATATGTTTTTCAAGAGCTTGTATTTTTTCAAAGTATGCTATCATATAACTGTTTGTAATCATTCTACGTATAGTTGATTTACATGACCTTATCTCTGCCTTAACGTAGGCAGAGATAAGGTCACGTGTTAATTGATGCCGGCCCAACAATCTCACCAAAAACTTTGATAATACGTTGCTACATCATGGCACATTTTATTCATGATTCTTAATTGTAATTATTTTGTTGCTGCCACACTATATGTGACAATAGTTAAGAATCAAAATGATTATTAACTTTAAACCCAAAATTAAATGTGACTTCACAGATCTGTGGGATATACTAGTTGCCCAAATCTCAAATTACTATAGTTTGAATTTGTTCGTGCCCAAATCCCAAATTCATCCCAAATTAATATCTCAAAAGCTTTATTAATCTTTGTTCAAACAAATAGTATATATTCTTATAGTTACAAATAATATATTTGCAAATCTCGAAATTTCCATCGATCATCACACCTTTTTGCAAAACACAATAAAAACCATATTACATATCTTACTTAAATTCGATTTACTCTCAATTACAATTTATTAATGAATTCTGATTTTGACCCAAATTAAAATTAATTTGGGCCAAAAACAACTAACAGTCACCTATCTATTATTGTGTCAGCTAATTTTATTCAATTTTACTATGATCACATCAAACTAATAAATTGATGCTAAGTCTCTTCATATTCATATATACTAAATCAATATAAATTACTCAATGATGGGATTCTTTTAAATAATAAAGTTTCTTATACTAAATTATAACAATATTAAATATGAAGACATTGTGATAGTGATTTTTTTTTTGAATTAACTTGTAATATGTGGGCCTCGCTTGGCTTAATACACAACACCTTTACACTCAAATGCATCACTTTACACGTAAAAACATTTTATCGAATTTGGTCAGATGGTTGTCAAGATATCTTTGCTTAAAGTTAAAGAAAAAATTTGCGCAGATTTTATTTTGAAATGCGTTTAAATTTTTTTCTAACTTTGAGTGAAGAAATCTTAATAATCGCTTGACTAAATTCGAAGAAAATTTTTTCATTTGGATTCCATAAATCTATAGATTCAAATAAAAGGTGTTTTATCAAATTTGGTCAGATAGTTATCAAGATATCTTCGCTCAAAGTTAGAAAAAAAAATTCAGCACAGCTTTTATTTTGATACGGTTTGATTTTTTATCTAACTTTAACGAGGATATCTTGATAACCATCTGATTAAATCCGATGAACTTTTTTTTATTCTCTGTGAATATTCAGAAATGCTTTATCGAATTTGAAAATTCAGACATCTAATATGTAGCACGTGATAATTATAAAAATACGATAGAGATTGTATATATGTACTAAAATTAAACGGATTATGTTATAAAAGATTATATGAGATAGAATATTTAGATTTTATATATATCTGATAGAATAATTGGTTTGGCCTGTTATCTTTATAATTTTTAAATTTGATTTAGATTATTTTTTAACAAGCATCTGACTTATATTAGAAATTGAAAATAACTTGTATTTTAAGGAGTATCTTGTTTATAATTATACTTTTATTAATAATTAATCTAAACTAGAATATTATTAATCAATATTTATTATAAGTTAAATTTTATTATATTACTTTTATACTATGCATAAAATTTTTATTATCGAATTATATTACTATCATATTTAAAAAAAAAATAATTGAAATTAAGTTTACAACCCAGAGTACTATTGTAAACTTTAATTTCAAAAAAAAAATTATTAAAATGTTTACAACTCAGGGTGCTATTGTAAACATTAATTTTAAAAAAAATAAAATACAAAAATTCGTTTACAACCCAGGGTGCTATTGTAAACAAAATTTTGTATATATTTTATAAAAATTTTTATATACAGATAAAAGAAAAAAAAAATAATTTATATGCATTTTTTCCTACTACTAAACAAAAATGCGATTAATAAATATTAAAAATTAATATAAAAATTAATATTTTTTTTACCCACCTATGGTACTGTAATTGAGTTTTTTGCAAAATTTGATATTCTTGAATTGTTAGCCAAGGTGGTTTGGTAGCTTCTTCGGCTAGACAATCTTTAACCATATGTTCATCAGTTTCCCAACACCGAAAACAATAACCACGATAATGTTGTGGAATTTGTTCACAGTTTATAGCCCAGTGACCCTTAGTGC